TGATATTGACTCAGTCTGGATTATATTCGTTTTACAAATAATGTATGAAAGTTTGTCTTTAAAAATTGTCAATCTTCTTATTTGAATATGATAAAATAAATAACTAAAATAAATTATCAAGTGTTAGTAACAATCACATCTTTTTTTTCTCGTCTGATTATTTAGTAAATAAAGAACGAAAACAACAAGAACTTAGCAATATTTCAATAGTTACATATCTTTTCTTATTGAGTATTCGAACTTATTAAATAATTTCTATTTTGCATCTTTTTATTATTTTCGTTAACATAAACTATTTGTATAAAAAATTAATTATATTGAAATATATTTTAAACTCTTTAGTTTCTAATTTTAGTATCTTATTTTAAATAAATTGTGTCAGGAGCATTCAAAAGAGAAAGTGAAAAAAAACAGAATTTTAATTTCAGAAAGAGTGAATTACATTTTATTTTCAACATACAATTTTACATAAGAAAGAATTCAGCATCTTTTGAAACTACAAACAAAATCCGAGCATGGATATGAGCGTATAATGGGTGGATATCTTGAGTGTGAGTGGGGGTGTGGGTATCGTCCCCAAGCCACTGCCATCTACACCCTAGACGAATGATATAGCCATTATTCATGTCAAATAATATAACGTACTCATAGATATTTTATGTCAAAAATGATTATGAACATGTTTTTATCTGTTCGTAGGGTCTTTAAAAAGTTTTTAGTCTGATTTTATCAAAAACAGCAATAAATGTTGCTATATTAGAATTGTTGTTTGCGCGTACTTCACACAATCCGCTATTTATAGGTAGAAAATCAACATTTGATCAACATCAACTGATTAAGTTTCTTGTTCTGGATGGTCATTTCTCATGTAATATTTACGGAAACAGAGTGATTGGTGCTCCTTTAGTCAAGTTCGCTTCTAAATGTAATCGTCATTATGATAATCAATAATCATATTTGATGATGATCGTAGATGTGAACAACATAATTATTAAAGTTTTTAAAAACCTAGTCATCAGAGACAGTTAAATGGCAATTCAACAAGCAGTAGATATTATTCGCATTTAAGAAATATTGCGCATGGAATTTCACATGATCAACTACACATGGCTAACGTCTATTCGACATTAATGTCATATTATCATTAGTTCTTCACCTTTAAAACGTGAAGCCCATTTCAAAACGATAATGTGTAATCAAACATTGTAACCGTAAACTGCAAAGAAGGCTAAAATTTTGGATTTATAGGTTTATTTTTTGCGTGCTCTTTCATTTTCAATAATAAAAAAAAAAGCTATGTCAAAACTTTTCATATGACGCAGTTTCTTGATTGAGCCATAGACTGTCTCTTAATTACACAACATTGTCAAGTCCGTTGAATAACTAGCTAGAAGAGTAAATACACAGAAGAGACCAAAGTGCTTCGTTTTTAAGCTGTTCATATCTTTTCCCACCAGAAAAGCATCGAGTCTTGCAAAAGTCAAGATTCTCGTGTCTTTAAACTATGTCAATATTACAAATGAGTCTCTAATACATTATTGTTCTTAATAATGCTACTGTTGTAAACAGTCTGCACTTTCTCCTTTACTTTCATAAGACATTTTCCAATGGGAGACGAGTTCCAGAACTCTGACCAGTACACCGATGATAGATAAATGTATAGATAAAATGTTATTGCAAATGGAACAACTTGTAGAACAGAAAATGCCACGCTTACACGAGCCACGAGTTTCGTATCAGCCGTTGAACAGGTCATAATAAAATCCATTAGGATACTGGGTAACTGACCGAGAGCTTGAATTAGGTAAGGTATAAAAAAGTCTTTGTGTTTGTGTAGAATGAGACAAATTTGGGTGGGTAATGAATCACTATCTACAAGACGATGGCGATGTCTGAGTAGATGTCCTAAAACTATAGTGTTCATTACAATGTAGATGAGATAGAATGCAAAAAAATGAATGCATGTGATAGTTTCATACAAGATATATCCAAGGGGAGTGAAGTTTCTGCATTGAACAGATCGCAGTTCTGTCGGCTGATTTTGACGAACTGTGAAGACGCCAGGAAGAGTAGTTAACGGACAGATGATTACAACAATAGTAGAAACTATAACTGAACGACGTCTGGAATCATATAGACTGTAGTTTCCAAAACATTCAATTAACACTCTTTCTATAGCTACGCTAGCAATAAACCAATTGTACATAGAAACCAAGGGAATATAGACAAATTTTCCACGAATAAGACACTGGAGATCATAAAATAGATATGGTTGTCGTAATTCTTTGATATGTAAAAGTATTGAAGCAAATATGAGAAGCATTAAGCCAATAAATATCGATACAATTGACAGCATTATCAAGTAGATTCCCAAGTTTGTTACACGTATTTTTTTGCACCAATATGTCTGTAAACATAATATTCCATTTAATATAAGAAATACACCATATAAAACACCGATAATAGTCCGAATTAAAGCTCCATTTGGAGCTACGTCATCGAAAGGTGTAAAGACAGACCATAAGTTTTTGGATACTTTTTCTTCCTCACAATATTTTCCAGTAAAACAAGGTAAGCATTGACATCTTGGTTTAATATTCTCATTAAAAACACAATAGGCGTGATTTTCTACACAAGTATTGTTCTCCGAAGAACACAAGGTTAAATTATACAAGTTTAGACAGAGGGAAATATTTCTGCCACATTGAAATTCATCCATTTCTTTACTGGAAAGAGAAGGAATTTTTCTTGAAAGGCTATTTTTTATAATACCATCACTTCCTACTTTTCTTTGCTTTTCTTTCAAAAACGTAGAAGGTTCGTGACATAGAGTAATTTATTCACACCTATGTCATACGTATTCTCCATGAAAATGAAAAAAATATCCTTTTTTTCTTTATGTTTTTATTATTCACTTAGAACTCGTCCATGTATTTAATTATTTTCTTTTTCTCACTCATATAGGTGTGTAGATGAATTGAAATAGCTGGTTCTTTACTTCCTCTGACATTTTTCTATTAAGGGGTACCCCCTCAGACAAAGTTAATTTTTGTCAGATTTATCAATGTTGTGGTTTATAGCTCGCTAGACAGAGCAAAATGTCTATTCTTGAACGCACTATAGTTGATTGATGTTATGTTGAGCATTAAGGATATTACATAGATTTTTCTGAATCTTCATATTGGAAAAAATAAGGTTTTTAAAAACTTATTTTTCGTTTTTCTTAAAATCCGTTTTTTCGAGTATACTGTTGTTTGTGCGGGCAAATCTTACTCAATCACGGCTCGATATAGAAGTGATAATTTTTTTGTATTGTATAGAGGACGGTTAGGGCTAGATCCTAACAGAGCCTGATTTTTGAAGCCCTTTATTGGTGAAATAAAAAACTTACATATTTCATTTTTATCAGCGATTTTGTTGGCCATAAATTCGAGAATTTTTCTGAAAAGATTTTTTAAAAACAAATAAAGGGGAATTTCAAAAATCGGGCTCTATGAGGATCTAGCCCTAAGGGTACTCTACAACTTAAAAACCGCTCCGGCATGTTAGCTCGTATCCTGATTGTGAAAATCTTGTCCACGTACAGAGTACTTTTAATTAATAAATTGACTATAACTCGTGAATACCTCACAAATCTGGGGAAATATTTTAACCATACTCTACTCTAGCCACGACTAACATTCTCGAAAATTTTAGTTGAATTCCATGGAGAAATAAAAAAAGTTTATTGGTGAAGTGAGGGACTCCTTTAATAAAGCTACTCATAAGTGACATAAACTCGTAGTGATACACTTTTCTCGAGTGAATATGACTTGTTCACAGCAGAATCACTTAAAAAAGAAACGAGTACAAACATAAGAACACGTACGAGGATGTGGATGTGAATGTTGGTGTAAGTGTGAAGCATGGATGTGTGAGTGTATTCTTCAACAACACCCACATTGCACACCCTCTTGGCACTAATTATATCAATTAATCATGCATGATTATAAGGTTTATTGTTAGATTACAAATTAACTTGTGATAAAAATAAACGGTCTGTGATCTAAAAAGTTTCTTTTTGTTGCAAAGCTATCTTATGAGCACTGAAGAGTATTCTGTCGAATTTACGAAATGACGAGCTTGAAAAATGACATTTTTTTTTTCTTTTGGCATGCTGATGCATATATGACTATACTGTACTTATCAAGATGATACAGCCTTCAAGAACAATTGAAAAACATACGAAAGGTAATACTAGTCAAATAAAGCTATTTGTCATTTACTTGAATGAGTAATCTATGACTTGAAGACATATATGTCTATGTAGATGTTCCTTTTTCTGATTTTATCATAATATTGATTCATTTTGATAAGAGAAATTAATTTTCTATATGGAAAAAGACAGATCAGTTTATGTTATCGTTTGAAATGATTGGCGTCCACATATCAAATAACTTAGACAGGGAATCATCTCAACATGTTTTGAATTATTCATTAAAAATCAATATGAATCGTGTTGATCGAAGTATTTTTTTTCATGCTTACTAAGAAAAGTAAATTCTATTTTTCTTTTCTAATAATGATTTTTTACATATTCTCTAGAATATAGTATTTCATATGAAAAGTACTTAGTTAAAAGAAGAATCAATGATCTAATTCACAAAAGTAGTTCTTTCTGCAGAATATATTTATCAGCACTGATCATTGTATCATTGTCAAAAAAAGTTGACCATCAATATTAAAATGCTTTTAGCAGTACTGCCTTTTTTATTTGTATGTAATTCAACCTAAGTTCGTGATTTCGTCTTGTCGAAAGTAAACGGATGTGTGTAGATAGAGCATGTTAATAAAGTCAGACCTAGGACTGTACAGCTCATGCTCACGATGAGCGTGAATGTTTCTGACTTATCAAAAGATTTTTGTCCCCGATTACTTTTATCGACTTTGTTTCTTGAAAATCGATATTCGATATTTTCATGTCTGTGCTACTTCTCAGAGATCGTAAAAATACTTTTTATTTTATTTCTCCTTCAAATGCTTATATTTTGATAGTTCTAGGTGTTTTTATTCGAAATATTATATAGCTTTATAAAGATCTTCCAATAATAAGAAAGATCTGAGGCACACAATGAAAGGCTTAAAAACTAGTTTTTGACCTAAAAATTCATTAAGTCTGACTTTGCATTCAGTCAGAATAGATTCATTCGATGTAAAACTTTTTTATCTACCGATTATGTAAGAACCTTTTTTGAAATTCTATACTTTTTCTATTGGTAGGACATAAACACCGTGCCGATTGAATGACTTGATTGGGAAATAACAATTTTTATTAGGGTGTGTGTATGGTTTGTGAGTGTGGATGATTGTGTGTATAGAATGAATGAAGGACAACACCCACACCCATATATTTTGTTTAGGAATATCCAGTGTTTTGCTAGTGATCACAGGTTCTCTCTTCTTCAACTTCGTCGTTTTGCATTTGACTTCTTTTACAAAAATCATAACAATATATCAATTATATTTTCATATTTTTCATATTATTTCAACATATCTTTATAGAAATATAAAGAATGATTGTTTTTGATAAATTTGAATCAATCATGAAAAATAAATCTATAATCTTTTTACTTTAAGTATAATAATACTATACGAAATAAAAGTAGTGATGGTTATACAATATATACTACTGTAATCAATCGATTTTCATTATCATTTTAATGGGAACTAAAATCTTGTTTTTAATAAAATATTAAACACAAAATTTTATTATTCAATTTCATACGTACTATCTATAAATCTATTCATTTAAAGAAACAACAACATTATATGACTGCATAGAGTCTATTATTCCAAAATAAATATTCACATCAGCAAAAACTTTGTGTAGATATCATCGATTACATTGATATGCATGATAAAGAAGTGTTCAAGAGTGTTATCAATTATTTTTCCAATACCAACTGGTTTTCCTTTGAATTATATATAGCTCCAGCTTATTCTAAAACATAATATTCCTTCGAAAGAGTTGTTTACATTAGTCATCAGTTATGATACATTCTCTTATGATTAGTATGTGTTTTTCGTCTTTCTAAGCAATATCTCTACCGCTAACTATATTCATACACGAGAATTCTCTACAAATACACTATATTTGTATCTTTATTAGATTTGATGTGAATGATCATTACAGACTTTTCACATTATTATAAAACATAGCATAGGTGAATCGAGTAAGTAAAAAATACTATGTGTGATATAATGTCAATAATCGATTATAAAATTAAGAAGTTGTTTGTTGTGGACTTCTATCCATCGATGGATTCTTCTCAGTTTGCTTGGATTCAGTAATAAATTTTTTGACCTCCTTTGATGTCCATCTCAAACCTGGTGGATCAAAGTATCGTTGTGGTGCGTACTTTATTTTGCCAGCAGGAGTCCAACGTGGTTCTGACTCTCGAATGGGCTTAGGTTGCTTTTCTACAACAGTTTTTGATTGTGAATTATCCTTTTCACGTTGCGACTGCTCTTCATTTTTCTTGTCTTTTGACGATTCCTGATTCTTCAATTTGCTGATACCAGCTGGATACCATGGTGTCTTTGTATCTTTAGGAGGTTTCTGTTTTATAGCAGATTGTTCTTCTTGCAGTTTAGACATTGCCTTTTCTTCTTCTTCCTTTTGTTTTTTATCCTTTTCTTTGTCGCGATAAAATCCATACGGTTTCCATGGTTCTGCCTTCGGATGGACGATAATACTCGATTGAAAACCTTGACATAGTGACAGTGGTGGAACGTTTTGAAAACTGAATTTTCGTCCATCATAATCTATTAAAGGATCCACAATATTTTCGGGAGATTTTGAAATTGTTGGTTTAGTTTTTTGAACAAGTGATTTTTGTCCATTAACATTTACTGGTTGAATATTACTCTTTTTGGTGGATTTCGCAGTCATTGCAGCAGTTTTGTTGATAGACGATCTTTGTTCATCACGATTTTCCGATGAATCCCTATTTCTAAGAGATTCTGTATCATGTTGTTCAATAGTGTCTCTAACACTTATTTGGGACATATCTAAAAGAATTTTTAGATTAGTTTTCCTAGTCTAGAATATGCAACTAAAAATTATATTATCTACTATCAGCTAGAAGAAAACTAGTACATTAATTGAAATATTACTAGTGGTTTCTTTCTCATTCTTTTCATGGACTCAAAGATACACAAAA